TTACCACAGTAGCAGTGGTAAAGTTTAGTAGGACAGCAAGTAATAAATGTTGGAGAGGCTGTGTCAAGGTAAGAACTCTTATACATTGTTGGTGGGATTGTAAAATGGTACAATCACTCTGGAAGGCAGTCTGGCTTTCCTTTCCTCAAAAAGCTGAAATTCCATATGACCCAGCTATTCCACTGTTGGAATATACCCTGAGAAAATGAGAACTGAGGCACAGAGACTTATAAACCGATGTTCACAGCAGCGTTATTTATTCAGTATCGCAAGAACATAGAAACAGCCCAAATATCCAACCATAATTGAATGAATTGAGATATTATAATGGTGGTGGTTGTTGTTGTTGTTATGTGCTGTTGAATTGCCTTGTGACTCATAATGACCATATGTACAATGTACAACAGCCCTAAACCCTACTCTGTCCTGTGCCAACCTTATCTGACGCACCTACCTCTATTACCCCAGTCACTGAATCAATCCATCTCATCGAGGGTCTTCCTCTCTTGCGCTGTCCCTCCCTCACCCTTGCAAGCATATCATACCTATCCAAGAACTGGTCCTGCCTTGCAACATGTCCCAAGTAGGTCAGATGAAGCCCCAGAATCCTTGCCTCCAAGGAGGAGCCTGGTCTTGCCCTCTCTAGGATGAACCTGTTTGTTCTCCTAGCAGTCCATGGTATATTCAATACTCTTCTCCAGCACCACAGCTCCAAGGCATCAATTCTCCTATCATACCTAGTCATTGTCCAGCTTTCTGATGCAAGTGATTGCAAAGACTACGGCCTGTATCAGATGCACCTTAGTCTCTAGACTGACATCCTCGCTCTTCAGTATTTTAGAGAGGTCTCTGACAGCAGACTTTCCCAATGCGATTCATCTTTTAATTTCCTCGCTGCTATCAAGAGTGTTGATTGTGGAGCCAAGCAACCTAAAACTGTTAACAATCTCAGTTCTTCACCATCTATCATGATGCTGCTAATCGTACATTCATTCACACAATGGATGATTATGCAGCATTGTGGGAACAATGATTTTGTAAATTACTACCTAACATGGGAGGGACTGCATAGCACTATGCTAAGTGAACTAACTCAGTCTCATAAAGACAAATACTTCATAAGACCATTATTGTAGAACAAACATGAGGATCCAAGGAGCAGTGGGGGGGGGTTGCTTAATCATAGTGTCACACAATTTGATGGGTGGAGGGAGGGGTGAGTAAGGGAAAGGGGGAAGATCCAGTGTGAAAAGAATTGTATATGAACTTTGTAAGTAAACCAGTATAAAATACATTTTAAAAAATGTTTAAAAAAGAGGAAACTCTCCATTGTCTCAGCTACCAAGATGTGTCTACAGAGGGGGGCCAGCCTGGTCACCAGTACAGCCACTGTACAGAAGAGAACCTCCATCAGTGTCACCACTGAATCACTCAAGAGCCTCGTCCCTGACTCCAAACCCTTGAAGGGGCAGGAAGCGCTTGTAGATCTTCAGGCTGATGATTCCCACATCTCTGACAAGGGGCAAAGATTTGCCAAATAGTCACTCATGTAGGACCTGCAGAGGGCCTGGAGGATGAACAGAGAGAAGAAAAAGAACCAGAAAGAGAACCCCTTGTAGATTCCTGGATTCCTATAGAGCATGAAGTAAAGAAAGTGACTTTAGGAGTCAGCTAGGGTCTGGAGTTTCCATTAAAATTGATGATCCTATGTCAGAACTTGGAAGGAGGAGTGGCACCCACTTCCATAATAGCTTGCCTCCAGAAACCCTATGAACCTGAAGAGAGGATGAAAGGCACCCAAGCGTTGAGGACTCTGGTTCATAGGGTCGCTATGAGTCGCCTGCCACTCGACGGCACTTAACAACAACATGTCAGAACAGTTCAGGTTCCCTTCCCACTACCGTTCATTCTTTCACTTTAGGCCAACTAAAGGAAATGTTGGGATGTATAGGAACCTTAGGGGAAGATGCCTTTTGGAATAAGAAGATAAAATCTCATTGTTTGTAATGCACTCAGCCCTGCTTGGAGTCAAATGGCTCCAGTCCAATCCCCAATTCCTTTGTGCTGACTGTGCTGAGCAAGATGAGCTGGACGCCTTTTGGTGCCTTGTTCCTCTGAAACTAAGACAGAGGAGCAGGGACTCCCAGGCAGTGCTTCCACTAAGCAGTGGAAGGAGGAGCAGGTGGTCTGGGAACAGCGGGCAGGAGAATGGGATCAGGATAAAGTTCAAGGACAGTCATTGTCCCTGAAATGTGTTTACTCTAAGCAATGTATATGAACTTTATGAACTTTGTATGTAAACCAGTTTAAAGAAAAAGAAAAGAAGAGTGAGAAGAAAGAGAAAGCCTGGGCGGAACTTCCTGCCAAGCTGCTAGATGACCTTCCCCAAAAGACCAAAGCAGTCCCTTGGCTTTCACAGACAGACTGTTCAGGAAGCAGATGGGTCAAGAAGTGGGGGAAATGGTGAAAAGAGCAGGAAGAAGAGGAGCAAAAGGTGCAGGAAAAAGAAGCTGAGCACAAAGGTACCAATATGAGAGAACGATCGAGGGGATACTGAAATAGGGAAAGGGACAGAGAACTGGGCAGGGAGATCCCAGGGCAAGGGCCACAGCAGGAGCAATCTTGTGCAAACTGAGGTGGGTGCCCTAGCTGGGAAAAAGATGAGAAAGAGCTGAAAGCATCAGTCATCCTGTCGCAGGCCACAGATGGATAGGTACAATATCAAGTAAGAGTCTTTCACATAATTTGCACATTGTTGAAGTATGGCATCCACTTCCCACCACATACTAAATGGAACAGTGGCTACTCTATCTTGGGACTTAGCCCTCTTCTCTCCCTCTCATTTTCCAGTGCTCAGTCTTGGAGAGGGAAGGGCTAACCTAGGGAGGGAGGTGAAAAGCCGAGGTGGTACACGCCCCAAATTTCTTGAAGCTTTTCTCCACTTTGCTCAACCTTCTCTTGTGTACTCATTAGCCCTTTTCAGGAACAGCTAGTCCAGGACTGGGTCATCTATGGGCTGAATTGGCATCTTCTCCAGTTCCCAGTCTTTTATATTTTATGGTGCCTGCCTCTCACTCATCAAGTCCACTGGTTCCACTTTATATCCACCTTTTCCTTTTATTCTATTTTAGCGACTAAGATATGTCTGATCCATGCCATGATCTTTGCAATTACTTGTATGCATCAGAGATGTGGACAGTGACTAAGGGTGGCAGAAGAATTAATGCCTTTGAATTATGGTGCTGGAGAAGAGTCTTCAACATACCATGGATAGCCAAGAAAATAGATCTGTCTTGGAAAGGGTGAGACCAAGTTTCTCCTTGAAGGCTAGGATTTTAAAGCTCCATCTTGCATACTTTGGTCATGTGGCCAAGAGAAACCAGTCCTTGGAGAAGGAATCATTCTTGGAATGGTGGAGGGACAGTGCAGGAGAGGAAGACCCCAGATGAGATGGATTGATACAGTAACTGGGGCAATGGGGGTTGCTGTGTTGGGATTAGTGCTACTGGCTCAGGATAGGGCAAGCTTCAGAGCTGCTGTACGTAGGGTTGCTATGGGTCATGGGCTACTTGACAGCACTTAACAGTCTATGGACAATCATAAAAATCTGACTTAATTTTTAAAAAGTGTCTCTAGCCTATGGTCTTATTTTGAATGTTCCAGCCTCCACAGAAGTGTGAATCTATCTCTTGATGTAAGTCAAGCAATCTCTCTTTACATTATCAACATATTTGCATGTTTACAACATGTTTGTATATATCTCTCTTATTGCCATTGAGTTGGAACAAACTCATAGCTGACTCTCTAGCAGTTCTCCAAGGATGGAAATCTTGTGGGAGGAGAGTGCCTATCTTTCTCCAGCAGAGTCACCAGTGGATTCGAGCCTCCAGAAACCTGTGGATTTAGGGTTAGCAGCACAATTCCCTATATAGACTATGCTACCAGAGAACCAATCCTATTTCTTTTCTTACTAATTATTCAGAACTTTTGCCTTATTTTTCTACTGGACTGTTGATTTCTCTTCTTTACTTTTAGGTCCTCTTTATCTATTTTCTTTTCTTTTTTATTCCCCCCCCCCTTTCTTAAAAGGCAATTGAGCATTTGTTATATTTGACAGCGAGATTCAATGGAGAGCACAGGCTTTGGTGCCATAGAAAGAGAGATTCAAATCTTGGCTCCATCACTTAGAGACAGTTTGTCTATTTAAATTCACTGAGCCTATGTTTCCATGTCTGTGGGTGGTGTAAATACTTACTGAATGTAGGTGCCAACTAAAAAGTTGGAGGTTCAAGTTTATGTAAAGGCACCTAAGAAGAAAGGCCTGACACTGTTCTTAAGCTGTAGATGAATAAACACATTAAACCCTCACTCCAACTCTATGTGGTCAGTATTATCATAACTCCATTTAAAGATGAGGAGACCAAGGTAGGTAGAAATTAAGTAACTTGCTAGAGTTTGAAATTATAAAGCTGGAATCTATCCTACCATTTTCCACTCCTTTTACCCATCCAGTCATTCATCTTCCAACCATACATCCATCCAATCATCTAATTTCCATCCATTCTCCTAGCTTGGAAATTCCCCACCCACCCTTCCTCCATCTCTTCATCTATCCACCTCGTTCCACCTTTAACAAATACTCGTCACCCAGGCCCATGACACATGCTGTACTGAAAAGGCATGAGACAAACACATCTGGCTGAAGCTTAGTGTAAGATTTTATTCAGCATTCTTACATTCAACTTTATTAGCTCAGCAAAGGAGTGGAAAAGAGTAGGGACATTCAGTGCATCTCTCAACCACTGCAACTTCCAACAGGATCAGGTCTCGAAGTCTGTGTTCCTGGTGGACGACTGATCAGTTATTGCTGCAAGAGACAGACACTTACCATACCTCCTCTTGCAGACTGAGAACCCACTCTGACTCATGGGAAGTGGCCCCTTCCCATGTGGACCTCAGGAGTCCCTGCCCCAAGAAGCCTGGCTTTCATTCTACATCTCTTACCAAGGGGAGAAGTCCCAAGCTCTCCAGACCTCCATCTCTTTCTTCTCCTGGGTGTCATGCCCATCATTGCTCTGGTCCCCGTCAAAGTTTCCACAGGCCCCACAGAGCATTCCAGCATGCTCATTGCCGACCATGACAGCCAGATTCCCGTTGGTCCCAAATGACACCTGGACCCCTGCCTTCTGATGGACAAGCACGGTGCCATCAGGTGACTGATTCACAGACACAGATGTCAACACCTCAGCCGGAAGAGTTACTCGGAGACCATTCACCTGGTGATAGAGGGGTAAACACAGAGGTAAGGCCAGAGCCCTAGGAAAGCTGGTATGTCTGTAACTGGTATGGAGGTGCTAAGAAAGATAAGGTCAAGGAGCAATAGCAAAAGGACAGGTGCTAAGATAGATGAAAACCTAGATTAAATAGCATATGACAGATGAATATATGAGAAAATTGTTGGAGAAGTGGATGGACATTCAGAAGTATAGAGGCAGATGAAAGGAAAGCTTGATAAATAAATAGGCAGGCATGCAATATCTCAAAGTCAGGGTTTAAAAAGCACTTTTTACCAGATAATTGAACTAATAAATAAAACTCAGGACAACCTTGTTTGGTTTTAGTTCTCAAAACCTCTGCCTCTGTCCTGTAAGTTACTGGTTACCTAACAAAAGAAACTTCATGTCTTACTTTTCCACTACTGATATCTGAAGATACATGATGACCTTAGCAGAATAGTAACTATTATGAGAAAATGTTTATTTCTCAGAGCACAGACTTTGGACTCAGAAACCTTGGTAACATTGTGTTTTTCTCCCTTAAATAATTGTTGTATTTTTCAGTTGATGAGTTACTTCATCTAAAGTTAACACTCCCTTGTTGCGGAATGTTGGGGAGGAAGGAAGGGTCTCTGGCGAGGACAGATCACCTAAGCTCCAGATAAGTGCAAGCCTCCTGACAGCCTTTAATACGGGGTAGAGAAAGCTCCCCTGTGTTTGGTTGTACCGGCTTGAGAAAGCTCACTACCTGGGAAGATGGCTGTCACATCTGTTGATCTAGGAGTGGTCCGCAAGAGGCTGAGGTTCTCCTGACCAATCCACATACCCCACGTCTATAAGCCCATCCTATTTGGTCTTCCTGTGTTTATAAGTGCACTGCAGATGCCAATAAAATGGAACTGGATTGACTCTCTGATCCTCTCCTGGAGTAGTGTATCTCCATCGTGCTTACTCCCATCAGGGTGTCACTGTTAAGTTGCCAGCGAACTGACAGTGATATCCTTAGCAAATCTTTATTGAAAGAAATTGTCTTCATGATTTTTTTTTCTGAATGCTTCTGTCTCTGAATATTCTTGGAATAACTGATTAGATAGGTAGCCAGATAGCTAGAAAGACAGTAAAACAGAGGAATGAATGGAACAATGAATGAATGAGTGGCTAAGTGAATGGGAAGAAGAAGGGAAAGCAGGAGGAAATAGGGAAAGAATAAAAGAAAGATGGAGGAAGGAAGGGTGAGTAGGTAGAATGTGAGACAGATGGAAAGTTCCATCAAACTGCAAGTTTCTCAAGGCTAAGAAATGGGTTGGAGTAATCTTTTACCTAGCATATGACCTGACATTGTGGAAACAGGGCTGAGTTCATTTATGAAACAAAATTTTCTTGGGTTCCTTCCAGATGCCTATTCATGATCTGGGCACTAGAGACAAACTGGTAACCGAGAAAAACAGATCACTGCCCACCTGAAGCTTATAGACTAGTGATGTAGAAAGGCAAAAACACCCAACAAATTACTGCTAGCTGCAGGTACTGTTAAGTACCTGAAAGAAATTAAAAAGAGGGTGATAGAATTAAGACTAGGATGGAAAAAAAGAACTTCTGATAAGGATAAGAAGTCAATGTTTTAGAGGTCTGGCAGGAGAACAAAGGAACAGCAGAACAGCAAATGCAAAGGCCCTAGTGTGGGAATAAGCTGGGACTTCTGTATAAAAACAGAAAAACCAGCAAGGCTGGAGCACAGCTAGTGGGGGAGGGAGTTATACAAATGGACTTGGAGAGTCCAGCAAATGTTAGATCACACAATGCTTTATCAGTCATGGAATGGGGAATGACTTGGGTTTGGAAAGTTTTCTGGGAAGTTGAAAATGGAATGGTGAATGGATGTCTATGACTATGCTCCTTAGAGAAGCTGCCTTCAAGCCTGGACCTTGTCTGGTATCTGGGAATCTGGATTTATGGAGAGTTACCACTGTTATAAGAACAAGTAAGAGCAGTTCACTGGGCACAACCAAATGTTTGAACGGCATTTTTAAGCAGATTGGCATGGCCTCATTGTATTTCTACAACATCTACTTGCTGTGGAGAGAATGGTGAGAAATATGCCTGGAGCAACTAGAGAGTCATCTTTGGCCCTAGGAAGGGTGAGTTTACCTAAGAATGAAGCTAATTTGGTGAACTCAAAGAGTCCTGACAAATACCTGATTGTACTGTGTGGTCAACTGACTCTAGCCACTTTTGAAATTCTATCCTTGGACTTTCTAGTAACATGAGTGTCATGAATTGTGCCCCCCTCAGTATATGTATATAATTTTATAATGTGGAAACTATGCAATGATCACAGGCTCTGATAAACCAGAGTTGTGGGAGGATTAAGGGTGGAATGCAACTTTCCTAAATCTCATCAGAGCCCTGATCAGACATAAGGAGAGATCCCTTAGGGTGTGGCCTTTAATATCTTCTCTCTCAAGAGAGATAAAAGATTAGGAAAGGGACCTGAGAAGAGGGACCGTTAGGACAACCAAGAAATAATTGCCATGAGTAAAGTGGATCTTTTTTGATCCAAATACCTGCACAACAAAGCTCAACACCAGGAAAGGCCAGGAGACGAGGACATTTCCAAGGAACACTAGAGATGGAACCTAGAATTTTAACTTCTAGCCTTCATAAGCTTGAGATCATGAGAATGGAACAGGATAGTGCAATGTTAAGATCTATTATTCATATGGTCACTATGAGTCATAATGGACTCAGAACTTAACAACAAACCTTCTAAACTATAAAAGCTTTCGATGAAATATAAATATAAAAATAGTATTCTATCAAAGTTATTCTATTAAAGACATACATTTGTGATATCTGTGCTATAACAGTAGTAGATAATTAAGAAAATGAGTCAATTTTTTTTTTGGCTTAAGACAATATGAATTTGGTTTTCTGCCAACTCTAACACAAGTAATTTGTGATGTTGGAGAAGAGTACTGAACATCACATGGACTGCCAAATGAAAAAAACAAATATGTCCTGGAGAAAATGCAACCAGGGTGCTCCTTGGAGGCAATGATGGTGACACTTCATCTCATATACTTTGGGCCTATTGTTAGGAGGGTCTAGTCTTTGGAAAAACATCATGCTTGGAAAGGTGGTTATTGTTGTGATGTGCTGTCAAGTTGACTACAACTCATAGCAACTCTATGAACAATGGATCTCAACCCTGTGTCATCCTCACCATCTCCAACCACTTGAGCCAAGCAGGGAAAGGTGAAAGGTCAGCAGAAGAGAGGCAGACCCTCGACAAGACAGACAATGGACTCAAGTATATTAGAGATGAGGAGGATGGTGCAGGATAGGGCTGAGCTCAGATCATAGGGTCACACTATGAGTCGTAGTCAAATCAAAGGCACATAACAACAACACATCATTTGTAACTAATGATACCTTTAATACTGCTAATATCAAGACTATTAAGTTACCTGAGGATGCTTTTGTTCCTCAAGAACTCAAATGGCATAGAGAGATTAAAATATTGGGACAAGCACAGATTTAGAGATCAAACTACAGAGACCTGGATAAAGAAAACAAAGACAGATAGCCAAGCAGTCAACAATGTTGACTGCAAGTCAACATTGCAAGTGGAAGGACCCAAACCCAGGCTTACCCACACACCATGGTTCAGGGTCACAGTGACCAATCCATTCTGGAAGAAGATGTGGACCAAGCCCACAGCTTCAGCCTTGCCATGACAGGGCTGGACATTAGTGACTACACGGTACCAAGGACTTGTCTTCCGTTGTCCTGGGCAGAGGGTAGAAAGCTCGTAGATGCCAGGGGAGCTGACAACATTTTGGGCCCCATCAAAGGTGGTGAGGTTGGCATCCGCAGAGAGGGAACAGAGGCCATGGGGGTGCCAACACTCCCGGGTCCCAGCCTGGACCTCACATATGCGTTCTAGGGAGCAACTGGCAGCTTGGCATGTGAGGCCAGTGCTTGCAGAACAGGAACAACGTTCACTGCAGTCTGAGGTCATCAAGGAAGAGTTCACCTGTGAAAGAAAAGAAGAGGTTATGATGATGAGGTGGACAGCAAAAAATGACCACAATCCTGCTTTCCTTTATACTGAAAGTATGGAATAATGAAGTAAAATCAACTGGCTGTTGAAGAATTGGTTGGTGAAGAATCTGTCCCATCATGAATTCTGCCATTAGATAAAGTCTATTTCAATGCTGATGGTCAATCAATTGGCACACTTCAGTGCTTCTTTTCGTTATAGGTATTTTAACTGATCCCAAATATTCTTGTAAGGAGTATTAGTAGCCCAGTGGTAAGAAGTTTCACTGCAATCCAAAGGCATGAGGTTCAAATCCACCAGCTGCTAAAAGGAAGAAAGATGGGTGATTTCTAGTGCAATTTACTGCCTCTGAGAACCCTGTGGAGCTATAAGTCAGTTCTGACTTACATAACAACAACAAATTTCTGTGGCCTCTAGGGGTGATTTGGCTGCGGTTTCTATTAACATCTTATAGAATAAGCAGCAACTCCTATCAGGAAGTGGAGTTTATTCCTCTCTCCCTAAACCTGGGCTAGCACAGTCACTGTGCTTTGTCCAATAAAATTCAGCAGTAGTCATGTTGTGCCCATTTCAAATCTATACCTCAGGAGACCCAGCAGTATAATTTTCTCTCATAATTTTGTCTAGCCAAGAGAATAATCTGGGTTTGCCCTGTTGGAGAATGGGAGGCCATATAGAACATAGACAAGTACTTTAGTAGATCACCCTAGATCAGCCAGCCCTCAGTCAACCCATCTGTCGGCCCAGGGGATAGCAGAAGAACCACTCAGCTGAATCCAGTCCAAATGACAGCATTTCAGAACTGTGAACTAAATGAGCAATTGTTGTTTTTAAACCACTAAGATTAGGGGGTACCTTTTAGACCCAGAAAAGGCTAACTGACTCAGGTAAAAGAGGGTACTGTAGATACCCCAGAGATCCTGGCATCCACAGCTCAGAAACTCATCTGCTTGATCTTATTCAATCTCAAGAAAAATAAAAGCAGCATGGGGTTCTGGGCTGGACCATTCTCCCGCCCCAAACATAAACATGTAAACAAATCCACTGCTATTCTGTCAACTCTGACTCCTTGGTGATACTACGGAGCAGGGCAGGACTGCCCCATGGAATTTCCAATGTTTGTGGAAGCAGATGGTCACATTTTCCCTCTTAAGGTGATCTGAACCATGGACCTTCTGTTAGCATCCAAGTACATAGCCACCATGCCACCAGAGCATCTGTCTCTTGGTCCATGGGGTGATACATTTTTATAGGGGGGGATTGATGGGACAACTGGTGAAATCTGAGTAAAATTTGTAGATTATATTGTTGAGTTAGTGTTGTTGATTGTCTTTGAGTTGAGCATGACTAATAGAAACCCCATGAACATAAGGCCTGAAGCCCCTCTACAACAATTGAAATTTCTCAAAGTTCATAGAGTTTCTGGAGGCATGTTGTTTAGGAAGTGGAAGCCGTTTCTACTTCCAATTCTGTCATAGTATGTGCTAACGTAGTATACTAACACTAACTCATATTGTTGAGTTAGTTTGTGTTAGTTTCCTGATTTAAATAAGAGTGCTATGGATGGTGCAGGACAGGGCACGATTCAGATCTGTTGCTCACAGAACTACTATCAGTCATCATTGACTTTATGGCATCTAACAAAACAACACAACTGTGTCATAGAAATGAACTTCCTTTTTTTAAGGAAATTCACACTGAAATATTTAAAGTTAAAGGATACTTCAACAGACTCTCAAAGGTTTAGGGAAAATAAAACCCCAGTAAATGCATCTACATAGATAGGGTGATAGATACAACCACTGATGAAGAACGATAGAGAAAGCAAATGTGGCATAACCTTAACAGTAAGAAAATCGGAGTGAAGGGAATACAGAGTTACTGATACTATTCTTTCCATTTTTAAGCCTGAGTTTTTTTCAAGAGAAAATGAAAAATGGAAAGCTTAGAAAAAAGTTGGTTAACTGTGATTAACCAGACAAATACTGTCTCTGTATAGATGGTTCCCATTTCTGTCTCCAGCCCAGCCCAGACTGCTCTCTTGAATGCCAGACTTTGAAATCCAGCAAATGTGTCACAGAGATAGAGGGTCAGGCTTGGACAGGGAAGCACGTAGGGCTGTGGGAATCTTAAGGGCCCTAAAGGAACAATGAATAAGCACTCGGCTGTGGAAAGCCAAATATCAAACAAAATATTGGTCTAAATGTTAAACCAAATGCTTTACCAGGATTTGAGAGAAGTGAAAATATTAGCTGGAATTCCTCCTGAGACAAGAGTCAAGTACCAAGGCAGACTTAAAGGCATCTTCACAATTTTTGGATTGTATTTACAAACCCCTCTCTCCTGAGTCAAGCATAAGGTTGTCAATAGAAAGAGCTTACCTTCATTTGCATAGAATTCTCTTTGTGATTTGCTCCCTGGTGATTTTCAATAAATTTACAGGGAAGCTTGGTTCTGGGCTTCAATCCTTGAGCTATTAGCCCCTTGCTTTTATGCTCTCTGTTCTTCTCTGTCCTTGGTGTCCCCTTCTCTTTCTTTGCTCTCGGCCAACAACACTCAGCCGTTAACTGAAAGGTTGGTGTTTCTAATCTACCAGGGCCTCTAAAGGAAGAAAAGAATGTATAGCCTCTGTGCATAAAGATTGTTGTTGTTGTGTGCCGTCGAGTCGCCTGCGACTCATAGCGACCCTATGTACAACAGCCCTAAAATCCGCTCTGTCTTGAGCCAATCGCACTGTCTCCGACACTCCCATCCCAATTATCCCAGTCACTGAATCAATCCACCTCATAGAGGGCCTTCCTCTCCTGCGCCGTCCCTCCACCCTCCCAAGCATGATGTCCCTCTCTAAGGACCGGTCTCTCCTCACAACACGTCCAAAGTATGTTAGACGGAGCTTCAGAATCCTTGCCTCCAAGGAGCCACCCGGTTTAACCCTTTCCAGGACAAATCTGTTTGTTTTCCTAGCAGTCCATGGTATTCTCAATACTCTTCTCCAGCACCACAGCTCAAAGGCATCAATTCTCCTTCTATCCTCCCTGGTCATTGTCCAACTCTCTGATGCATAACAAGTGATTGTGAAGACCATGACCTGTATCAGATGCACCTTAGTCTCCAGAGAGACACCATTGCTCTTCAGCACTTTGGAGAGGTCCCTAACAGCAGACTTTCCCATGGCAATGCACCTTTTAATTTCCTGGCTGCTGGTGCCAAGACTGTTGACTATGGAGCCAAGCAAACTAAAGCTGTGTACAATCTCAGTCTCTTCACCATCCATCCTGATGCTGCCAATTGGTCCAGTGGTGAGAATCTTTGTCTTCTTGACATTGAGCCTCAATCCATATTGTAGGCTGCAGTCCTTGACGCTCTGCAGCAGGCGCTTCAGGTCCTCTTCAGTTTCAGCAAGCAGGGTTGTGTCATCCGCATAACGCAGATAGTTGATAAATCGTCCACCAATCTTGACCCCACATTTCTCCTCATAGAGCCCAGCCTCCCGGATAATCTGTTCTGCATATAGGTTGAAAACGTATAGAGATAGGATGCATCCCTGGCGTATGCCCTTCACAATTTTAAACCATGCAGTGTTCCCTTGCTCTGTTCCGACGACTGCCTCCTGGTCCAAGTGTAAGTTTCGCATGAGAACGATCAAGTGTTCTGGGATTCCCATTCTTCTGAGTCAACCATAGTTTGTTATGATCTACACAGTCAAATGCCTTTGCATCGTCAATGAAACACAGATAGACATTCCTCTGGTATTCCCTGCTTTCAGCCAAGATCCATCTAACATCAGCTACAATATCTCTAGTACCACGACCCCTTCTAAACCCAGCCTGGACTTCTGGTAGCTCTCTGTTGATGTGCTGTTCCAGTCGTTTTTGGATAATCTTCAGTAAAATCTTGCTTGCATGTGAAATTAATGAGATTTTTCTGTCATTTCCACATTCTGTTGGGTCACCTTTCTCTGGGATAGGAACAAATATCGATCTCTTCCAGTCAGTTGGCCAAGTGGTTGTTCTCCAGATTTCTTGGCACAACTTGGTGAGCATAAAGATTACAGGCTTAAAAACCTTATGGCACAGGTCTAATATGTCCTATAAGTTTTCTAGGAGTTGGAATCAACTTAATGACACATAACAACAACCACCCCCTAAACTAGGCGATTAGCAATGACTTCTTCCAAGTAATAAGATAATAAAGCTAGAACAAAATTTGGCATCTTTTGGTACATAAGTTTTTAACTTCTAGTCTACCTTTTTGCCATTGATAAAATCAGCTGACTCTACCTCTCATTTATTCAATAAATATGTTTTGGGAGACAGAGACTAGCTTAATCATTAGGGGGGTAGGCCCAGTCTGCTGTAATGTAAATTCTAGCAACACTAGCTGCTAATGGGAAGACTTCTCTATACCATGATTTCTTCTCTTATGCTGTTGTTCATTGCTGTCTAGTAGGAACCAACCCATAGCTGATTCTCCAGCTTGTTTTCAAAGGTTGAAATTCCACAGGAGGAGAATGTCCATCTTTTTCCCCCTCAGAGTTATTGGGGGATTTGAACAGCTTGCCTTTGAGTTCATAGCACAACTCCTTACTCAGTAGGCCATCAGAACTCCCTCTCTTAATTTAGAAGATGGGACAAATAACAATAGTTCCTCTTGTAACTATGAAATAAATTAACACCTTTGATTAAGTTTGTGTGTTATACAAGCAAAAGAAAATCATTAGAAAAAAATCCACTACTATTAAACTTTCAGTTTGTATTATTAAGTTAAATGATTGTCAAAACCAAAACAAACTCAGAACCAAACCAAAGTCAATTCCCACTCATAGAGAACCCTCATTGGGTTTCTAAGGCTGTTAATTTTAACAGAAGTAGACTAACTTTCATTGTGCCTTAGAGAAGCTGGTAGATTCCAATTACCAGAGATGTACAACCTTTTGATTAGCAGCATGACAACCCACAGACTATGCCACCAAAGCTCCTTGGAAATGGCAGCTAGCTATCCTAATTATGATGATGTTGTAAATGGCTATTATTTTTACTCTGTGTTGAGGTCTTGCATGCTTTTAATGCACAATCCTTATCTTCAGACATCTATGGTACAAGGTTGAATATTAATCTCATCTTACAGATGAGGAAACTGAGGCTCAATGAGGAAACTGTAGTAGATAGAATAAGAGCTCCTCAAAGACACCATGTGCAACCCCATGTGTTACCTGATACTGGAAAAAGATCTTTGTAGATATAATTAAACTAAGGATCTTGAGACAGGGGATTATCTAGGTGGGCCCTAAATGCAACCACAGGAATCTATGAAAGAGGAAAGCAGAGAATTACTTTATAAAATAGAAGAGGAGGAAGCAGTGTGATCACAGGGGCAGAGACAGAAGTGAAGTGGCCAATGTATGCTGGTCATCATAAAAAAATAAAAGCCCTCAAAACAACTGAGATATCATCTCACCCAGTAAGAATAGCAAAATTTAACAGAACAGCAAGCAACAAATGCTGATGAGGTTGTAGAGAAACTGGAACCCTTATTCACTGTTGGTGGAAGTGTAAAATGGTGCAACCACTGTGGAAGGCAGTATGGCACTTTCTCAAAAGTTGCAAATAGAAATACCTTTGACCCAGCAATTCCACTACTGGGAATATACCCCAAAGAGACCATAACTGCCACCCAAGCAGATATATGCACACCATATTTATCGTGGCTTTGTTCACAATAGCAAAGAGTTGGTAATGACCTAAGTGCCCATCAACAAACGAATGGATAGAGAAGCTGTGGTATATTCGCATAATGGAATACTACGCTGCACTGAAAAACAAGGAACTCATGGGATATTATTATAAATGGGTGACCCTGGAGGGCATTATGCTGAATGAAGTATCTCAGTCAAAAAAGGACAAATACTTTATAGGGCCACTGTTGTAAAACAGGACTGACATCGGGGTTGGAGTGAGACTAAGAAAGATGGGATAAATAATGTATACTGCATTGAAACAGTTGAGGGAGAAAACTGTTTAAAAGGGATTTGTGATTAGGTGTTATTGTCATGACAGGAGTCCAGAATGAAGGCTGCATAGTGGAGTGGACCTGGGGGAAAGGATTGTGAAACAATGAAAGAATTTTTCTTTTACTTTTCAAAGAGGGGAGTGTACTGGGGGGGAAGGGGGGCAGGGAGAAAAATGCAACAATGATTGAATGGAAATCCAAAGTCTCTGTAAATTTTCATTGAAATTAATAATAAAAAAAATAAAAGCTCACAAGAAAATCTGCCATCAGGGAACTCTGCAGAATGCTAAAGAACAACGATGTCAGTCTAGAGACTAAAGTGTGCCCGATCCAGACTATGGTCTTCACAGTTACTTGCTACACATCAGAAAGCTGGGCAATGAATAAGGATGACAGAATTGAAGTCTTTTGAGTTGTGCTGCTGGAGAAGAGTATTGAACATACTATGGACTGCCAAAATAACAAACATCTGTGCCCTAGAGAAGGTGAAACCAAATTTGTTCTTGGAGGCAAAGTATTGAAGCTCCATCTGACATACTTTGGCATGTGGTTGGAGGAACCAGTCCTTGGAGAAGGACATCGTGCTTGGAAGGGTGAGTGGAGAGTGCAGGAGAGGGAGACCCAAGATGAAATGGATTGACACAGTAACTGAGATAAGGGGGGTAGGTGTGTTGGAGACAGTGGTATTGACTCAGAATAGGGCAGGTTTACAAGCTATTGTACATAGGGTTGATATGAGTCACAATCAACCTGACGACACAAAACAACAACCGTTGAGTTGCTTTTGACTCATGGAGACCGTCCATCAGATTTTTTTCAAACTGTAAATCTTTGTAGGAGGAGACTGCCTATCTTTCTCCATCAGGGTTGCTCATGGGCTCAAACTGCTCAGCTCTTGGTTAGAAGCTTGATATATGATGAACTATAACGCTGGGACACCTTGCTGGCAACCCTGGGCACTAGAACTGGCAATGGATAGTTCACAGTTTGGCTAACACTGTCATTTCCGTCCAGGGAGACAGGTTTCAAACATCTGGTCTTCAGAACCATGAGAAAATATATTTGGTTTAAAGCCATCAAATTGGTGCTAATTTGTGATGGCACCCACAGGAACCTAATATAGGGGTATTACCAGAAGAATTAATGTCTTTGAATGAAGGTACTAGTTGTTGTTGTTGTTGTTGTTGTTGTTGTTGTTAAGAGCCATTGAGTCGTACATGACTTATAGTGACCCTATGAACGAAAGACCTAAACACTTGTATAACTTTGGTTCTTTCTCCATGTTCATAGTTTCCAGAGGCAAGCCATTTCAGAAGTGATGCCACTCCTGCTTCCAAGCTTGGTGTTTTGTTGTTTTGTTTTGTTTTTTTGTATCTCAAATTTTTTAATTATTATTATTCATTTCAATGAACATCTACACCAAGCTTGTTTTAATTGGGATGCTCCACCAAGTACTGTCCACTATGGGTAACCATTATCGAATTTGGCACATCAGTCTCAAAGTGTTTAGCATCACAGCAACCATGAGTTACCTCTGCACAGCAATGCACAGACAAGTGCTATACCACTTAGAAGAATGCTTGACAAAACACAATTTAAACCAGGCCCGAGGGCCACAGGCTCAAGAGCCCTAATGGGTTTTTTAATAGGAGGCCTTATCATATCATCTCACTTCCCTTAGCAAATAAACATTCCACCATAATGCTCACCAATCCCAGCCAACAAGCTTCTATAAGGAGGAATAATCTCCTCCTGTACCAGTCAGATCTGATTTGACGGTACACACACACAAAAAAAACCAGCTTCTATAGAATCCGGTTCCTGCAGAGGACTTTCAAACTGGATTCCAGCCCCACATTGCTGACCGAAAGTGTCCCAAAGGTACTAGAGAAGAATTCAAAATTATCCCATAGATTGTCAAAAGAAAAACAAGTCGGTCTTAAAGGAAGTGTAACCATGGTGCTCCTTAGAACTTGGCAAGAATGGTGAAACTTGTCATATATTGTGAGAATATTGTCAGGAGTCTGTGGAAGGCTGAGGGTAAGAGAAAGAGAGGGAGATCCTCTGGGAGATGATTTACACAGTAACTATAACAATAGGCTCAAGCATATCAGAAATCAAGTATATATGGGTAGCACAGGCTAGGATAACTGTGCTAGGATAAGGTTCAGATCTGTTGTTCACAGGGGTGCTATAATTTGTAGTCAACTGGATGACATCTGGTGATAACAACACCAGCATAGAGCCACATGACTGGGACAGAGTGGCAGCTGTTAAGGCAGTCTGCACAGAAGCTTTGAGCCAACCAAGAGTTCTGCACCCTCCCTGCCCACCACAAGCCCTGCTCACCGGCAGGTACCGCCCATCATGAGTGCAGCCACAGTCATAGGTGGGGACGCAAACTCCATGGGAGAGCAGGAAGCGGTCATCACACTCGCAGCCCTCAAAGCAGCGGGTTGTGCAGCCTGTGAGTCCTGAGAGTGCTGCGCAGGAGCCCCGACAGGAGTGAGTGCAAATGGAATAGTGGCTGTGGGCTGGGCACTGCAGGGCTAGAGAGAGAGAGAGAGAGGCAGGGCGGTCATGCTTCCATGTGTGGCACAACTTAATGAATGGGGTTTATTGTGCCCAGCCCTGGAGATGAAGTGATGGAGACAGCCGCTCGCCTTGCTTGAGTGAAATTCCTTTCAATGGGACAAACAGTAAGAGGCAGGTCCTGGGCAGCGATGGGGCCCAGAAAATGCTTCCAGGATGAGGTCCTATGCTCTGGCTGGTGTCACAAGATGGAGTCAGGGAGGGTGGCTAGGTGGATCCGGTTTGGGGTGGAATGCTGATGTCAGGGGGAGGCACAGCCTGACAAAGGCCCGTAGGTGCAAAGGCCCCTAAGGACAACCCAGGGAAGGGTGTCCATACACTGCCAGACTCTTGAGGGTGACAGTCAGGAGTGAGGTTAGGACTGGAGACACAGTAGCCAGTGTTTGCACTGAGATGAGATCTAATGCCTTGGAGTGGCCAGTGCCCTGAGTAATCTGAGAGGACACTGCTCTACCTGAGGCTCTGACTGATCCCATGGAACTTTACTAAATGGGTATCTGACCTTCCTACCCCTCTCTCCACATCACCCGAATCTAGGATAGACAGAGCCCTGGGGAAGAACTATAGTTTGGGCTAAGGGAAGAACTAAACTATAGTTTGGGCTAGAGTGAAGTGCTGGCAGGAGTCTGAGAAGGGAGAGCCAGAGAGGTCGAAGGGAATATGTGGCAGAGTGGAATGAGATGTATGTGCGGGCTTGGAGGAAATTACAAGAGAAGGCGGCGGGGCTGGGGCTGCAGACACTCACGACAGAAACTGTTTGTTCTCCAGGGCTTCACGGCAGTGCCAGCCGCTTGGCAGGCGGCAGTGTAGGCTGCCAGGCTGCGGCACAGCGCTGAGTTGTCCCCATTCTGCGCGCACATGTCGTATACGCACTGGCGGAAGTACTCGGAGGGGCTCAGCACAGCGTGGCAGGCCCCGAAAGCACCGAGGGGGTCGCGCAGGCGCCCGCAGGCCTCGATGCTCTCGTAGGGCGCTGTCTCCTCCGCAGAGCACACGCGGCAGCCCTGGGCTCCGCAGCCCTCACCGCAGCCGGGGGAGGAGCCAGGCGCGCGCCATGCAGCCCCGAAGGCCTCCACGCTGGGAGCCACGTTGCCATTGGGCAGCACGAAGTCGTCGCTCCAGTTGCCATTGAAGTTCCCACAGAGGCCACAGAGCCGGCCGTGGAAGGGGCTCGGGATGGACATAAGGACGTGGGCATCGCCATCAAAGAGCAGCCGCAGCCCTTTGGTGGTCTGGAGAATCATGTTCCTGCCCTCGGCGGTCACCCGCACGGGACCCACGGACACAGGCAGGGTAACAGCTTCATTGTCCACGGTGACCTGAGGGGAAAGGTTGATGAGGATCAGTAACTCACGGGTGGGGTTGCCCCTTCGTGTACCCAAGGTGGAACAGAACCCCCTCAGAAACTCCAGGGCTGAGGTGAGAGTAGGGGTGGGGCATGACCATTCAGATCTACCAGGTCAGATATGTGTCTTCCTACAAAGTTGTGGTGTGAGGCCTTTGTCGCCCAAGGTGAAACTGTACCCCATTCAGACAGGGCAAAACAAACAAACAAACAAAACCCAAACCACTACCAGTGGGCTAATTCCAGCTCATTTTGTCCCTGTAGGACAGATTCTGGTGCCCTAGTGGTAAGAAGCTGCCCTGCAATCCTGAAGGAAGCAGTTCAAATCCACCAGCTGCTCTAGGGGAGAACAACAGACAATCTCCTCCTGTGTGATTAACTACCTCTGAAAACTCACCAGAGGGTCAGCTTCTAACTCGAAGGTACACAACAATAACACAGTGTTTTGAAAGCTAGAAATATTTACAGAAGCAAACTGCCACATCTGTCTCCCTCAGAGTAGTTGACAGGTTTGAACTTCTGATCTTTAAGTTAACAGCTCACACAGGGCCCCAAATTCGCTGTTTTCTAGTTGATTCTGACTCAACAGTGACCCAGGAAGGCAAATCAGAACTACCGTACAGTTTCCAACACAGTACATTTTCAACAAAGCAGACTGCCTCATTTTTCTCCCATGGAGAAGCTGTTGTTGTTGTTGTTATGTGCCATCGAGTCGTTTCCGACTCATAGCGACCCTATGCACAACAGCTCTAAACCCTGCCCTATCCTGTGCCAACCGCACCGCCTCCGACACACCCATCCC